TCCTGCCAACACCCTGGGCTGCTGACGGAAATTTCCACTGGCCCTCGCTTTCACCTTGCACCTCTCCCGGGCTCCTTATCTTTGCGTCTGCCTGTTCCAAGAAGCCCGAGAAGGGTGGCTAGAGAGAAAGGTGGCTTGGCAGGGACCAAGACCCATCCTTTGCGGGGTGGGGTGGGGGCGTGGAAGGCGCTGGGTCCCATCTGGAGACCGCAAACGATCTGGCCGGGGTTTCGCAAGGCCGGTTTTGGCTCTGGCTGTGGGGTGGTCGGTTCAGCTGAGCCTGTCCTTAATTTTTTTGGATGACAATCAATGGGGCATTCTTCTTCCACCCTGGCTCCAGACCACCCACGGAAAGGAAAGACTTTGATAATTTCGGTTTTGCTGGGCTGGGGAGCACGAGGGAGGCCGCCCCGGCTGCCTCCTCGAAGGCCCCTTTCGCCGGGGCCTTGTTAAGGTGTGAGCCGGTCCTTGAGGTTCCTTTTCACGACCGGTAATGTGATATGAAGGCGGGGGAGACCTTCAGAAGGCTGGAAAATGTCAGCGCTGCTGGGTGAATCTATGCAGGGTGGCGTCCTCTCTTCCTCTCTCCAGCCTTCAAAGAGTTTTATTATTCCTCTCCCGCCGGAAACAGTGTCAGAACAGAAGTGTGTGCGCTGCCTTCATCCTTACAAAAAGGTGCTTCTCAGGTAGACTGCCTCTGACCACGGAGCTTCGCCTTGGTCTTTCTCTTGCCCTGGAAGGGATTTGAATGTGCAGAATGGGGGCGGGGTGCAGCCTTAAAATGAACGCCAGCTCTTTCGGTCTTAGGTGGGGGGACCGGGTGGAAAGCTAAACGCTTGTGGCGTCAGAACGCTTATCTTTGGAAGAGAGGCGGCTGAAGATGGGGTGGTTTAAGAACTGGAAAGGCATTGTTCGCTTTCATCCCCTGGAAGAGCAATTTGCCTCGTGGAAATGTGGTCCCTTTCTGTTTGCAGTTTTTTGGGAGGGGGGTGTTTCTTCCCATCTTGGCCTACGCTGTGGCATCCCCTTCTTCCCAAAGTTTTTCCCCATGTTTAAAGTTGTTATTAACAGGGGGAGAAGTCGTCCAGAGCGGGGCTGTCCTAGAAGAGTTTGGGGTTTTGTTTTCTCCCAGCCCAGAAGCTATTTTGACACTTGGTGCTTTTGAGTTCCCATTTTCGTTTGGGTTTGTCGTGGAGACGGGTGGCAAGGGCTCGCCTGCAGAAAATGTGGCTCGGCGCAGCCATGGTAAATGCAGAAATAGCCAAAAACAACAATACTGGTGTGAAAAAAAGTTTTTCCACGGAGCTAAGGAAGTTCCTTCTGGTTTCCAAAATAAACCTGACCACGTACAGAATTAGCCCTTGAATCAAAATGCTTTGTTGTGTAGAAGGCGTCAATCCCTCTCTCTCTCTCTGTGTGGGGACGCCTGTTCAGAGTTACGTACCTCTCTGATTGTACAACCTGCACCAGCCTCGCCAGTCTGGCAGGCTAGAAACGCCTGGGACTTCAGCTCCCATCCTGCCTGGCCAGCGTAGCTGTTATGGGACGCTAGATCCAAGATGGTGAGGGTCCGCCAGGTTGAGCCCAGGGTGGCCCATGGTGCCGGTGAGCGGGTGACGAGTCGCCTGCAGGGAGACCCGGGAATGCAGCAACAGGATGCTGCGGGAAGAGGCTTTCTGTTTTATCTCACAGAATAATATCTCACCATTACCCAAAGAGCCGCTATCAGTTATTTGCTGTGATTTCCAGGTTATTCTCTGGTTTAAGCGGGTCAGACGGGAAATGATTAGGCTCCCCTGATAGCGAGGTGAATTCAGGAAACCAAATTCCCTATTCGTCGATAGCCTTGACCGGGGCTCCGCTTGCACGGGCGGGGAGTTTAATTCTGCAAACAGTCAAAGGCGAGGGATTACTGTACGGATTTGGCCCGAGCCGCGGCCGAGGCACCTGGGGACTTCATTTTTCATTAGGATCATCACAGCCGAGGGCCCAAAGAATAACGGATGAATGCTGGAACTGAACGTTCCTGCCTTCCTCCATTCTCTCAGTGTGACGCAGGGGGTTGTGAAGGATCCTCTGGCCTGCGGAGGGAAAAAGCGATCTGGAAGGGGAAGCCCAGGCTGATGAGGAAGGGACCAGTCTGAAATTGGGGAGGGGGGCGAAGAGGACTTGTCTGGCTTCACCTGCGCCTCTCCAAAAAGAGACAAGGGTCAGCTGATGCTGTCCCAGTGAGGAGGAAGTGCTTGTGTGGTCACCTAGAGGCATTTCTGAATCCCCGCTGGCGACCAGGCGGATGGGTGTTCTCCGTCCCCTCATTCCCACGCTCACCACTGGACTGAAATCTTACAGCTGTAAGCTGGCCAATCAACAGGGGCGATTCTGACCCAATTCTCTGCTGTGTTTATGCGGGACAATCAATTACTCATCTTTTGGCCTCCATGTGCGCCAGCGGTAACAAAGAATGCTCGGCTCCTTCCCCCTCCTCCAGCTGCTGGATTAAGTTTGCCTCTGGCTCGGCCCCCCCTTTTGGGCTCCCTGCAGAGAGGAGAAGGGATCACCCTTCCCGGGGCACAGGGGTCTGAACGAGGAGCCCTCCTCATTCCTTCCTGCCCCGGGGAGACCCAGGAATCTCGTGCGCTGGGCAGGGCTGCTTCATGGCTTAGCAATGTGCTGATGGGGGAGATCCTCCCAACAGCCACAGGAGCCCAAGGGTGGAAACTGGAAGGCCGCCCCATGCAGATGACTTCTGGGGCGGATGTGCTCGGCTCTGGGTCATGCAGGGTGGGGCTGGGGGAAACGGGACGTGTGGGGTAGCCTCAGAGGGGGAATGGACTGTATCAGGTGAGCGTCCTCTTGCCAGCCCCTGGAGTCAGCTGTATGCAAATATGGCCAATAAAGGGAATTAAAAGGCTTTCAGAGGGACGGAGGGCGGATGGTTTGGGGTCAGGCTTTGGACGCCTAAGAGATGCAGAAGGTGAGTGTGTCTGCTTAGCTGCAAACAGGCGGAGACCGAGGGGCTCTCTCTTTCCTCTGGGGGCGAGGGAAAGGGCGCTCTGGGCGTGCTCAGAGGTGGAGGAATCTGGTGTGAAAGTGGACGAGTGTCCTTTCCTCCCATTGGATGGCTCTCTTGCGAAAGAGATTTCCTTCTGCAAAAGGCTGGTCTCCAAGGGGTTAAAGCCCCTCATCTCTCTGGGGAGCTTTCCAGGGCTCTGAAGCCCAGCTAGTGTGTGTGTTCTAGGAGGAACTTTTTTGTAGCAACTTCGGGGCAGCCCAGTGGGATTCGCTCCTTTCCGGGGGTATCTCAGAAGTCCGGGCATCTCCCAGGGTTGCCAACGCGGCTGTTTTAAAAGCCAACAGCCGACACGGCCGTTTTAAAGCCCTTGGCACCCTTCGGATGGGTTGGGCTGCCATCTTGGCTGCAATGCTTGGGGATGATGGGAACTGTAATCCCAGGGAGCTGGAAGGCCGGGGTAATCCTGTGGGCCTGCGCCCCGCCCTACCCACGGGGTGAGATGAAGTCAGCAGGGTGCCACGTTGGGCACGGCCTTTCCTCTTGTCTGCTCCACAGCAGAGGAATTGTGAGGTTGTGGGGCGGCCCCAGAAAAGCAAGACCCTTCCTTGTTCTTCAAGGGGAGGGTTGTGGACCAAACACCCCCCCCAAGATGGGAGGATCCCGTTCCTGGAGGTGACGCCTCGCCTTCACCTCCCTGGGCGACGGGCGACGGGTTTTCCTGGGGAGGTCAGCAGAGCTTGCTCCTCCTGGACCGACCCCCCTTCAAGGAGCGTGCAGATGTTCCGCCAGCTTTCCTCGGCCTCCGGAGGGCTCCTCTGGACGAGCGAGAAGCACGACCCCAGGCCGGCAGGCTTCCAGAGCGAGCGGCCTGCGTTCCAAACCCCTTGGATCCGAGTTGCAGAGTCTGGGCCGGGTTAAGGACGTGGGGCTGCGACTCTTCCTCAGTTCTGGGGCGGCTGCCCTGGGGGTCAGCAAGACCCCCCTTCTTCCCACTGGCCAAATCAGGAGAGGTTGCAACTGGAAAATAGCTGGGAACATCTGGAAAATCCTGGTTGCTTTAAAAATGAGTCTGAAATGTCCAAGGAGGGGGAAGCTTTTCTCATGCCCAACCCACAGGTTCTTGCACGTAGCCTGCAGCCTCCCCCACATCAGCCACCTGCGGGCTTCCTCGTCCTTATGTCTTCCAAAGACGCTCAGCTAGGACATGCTTCTCTTCCTCTTCCTCCCTTGCGCAAAGGAGCTGTAAAAACCTGGAGCTGTGCAGTTTTAAAAGGGGAAGGGGAGTGCAGAGCAGAGTGGGGGAGTGGGTGGGGGGAGAGCTCCCAGCTGAAATGCAACCCCCAAATCTGTAAACTGCCTGACTTCTGCCTCTGTGGCCTCGACAGCCGCCCTCCTGTCCAAGCTAAATGGGGAGGGGGCCGCAGCGAGGAGCAGGAGGCGCCGGCGCCTGCACTCTTGGTGATTCCAAACCACGAGGACTGGAATCTGCTTTTTTCACTTAAGGAAAAGAACGGAGGCCCAGGCCTTGTTTGAACCTTGGCATCCGGGAAGGGTCCCTCCCCAAAATCCTGGAAAGCTGCAGCAGGTCAGGGTACAGAACGCCGATCTGGAGAGACGCAGAGCTTGGCGAAGGGTGGTGGATGGTCTTCCAGAAACACGGCTTCCCACGTTTGCTGGGGTTGGCCGACTGGCGGGTCAGCAGCCCCGCAGGTCCTCCTTTGCTTGGGGTGGAGCTGGTGGGCTTTCTGGGGTGGGTGGGCGGTCCGGGAGGGAGCCCGCCCTTCCCCACCGGTGGTTGAATACGTGGTGGAGGAGAGCTGCCTCGGCGTAGATTATCCAGGCCGGCGCATTCCAGGCGTGCCAAACCTGGATTCCTAAGGGGATCCTTTGAGATCTCTGCCCCTGCGTGTCGCCAAGAGTGCATGGCTGACTTGGGAGCCATGTGGACTAGAAGTTTGTTTTTCCTTCTACAAAGGCCTCTCCCTGACACTAAAATGGTGTTTTTCTTTCCTTTGCAATGAAAGGATAATTCTTCCGCCCGTGTCCTCACGCCCCCCGCCCCTTTCCAAGGCTTTAGCAAGTCTAGCTAGCAACCAGTCCTCTGAAAAACCACTACTTTGCCCTAACTCGATTTCATGGCTCACACAGTCATATTTTTTCCCTTCCTGTTACTCCACTTTGATTTTTGAAAAGGCCGTTTCATGACCAGCTGCTAAAATTCCCCCTTCTTGCAATTTATATCTGGCCTCTTCAAGGCGTCCTCTCTTCCCCTTTCTTTATTATCGACCCCGCTGGACCGAGAGCAGAGTTTCCCTTGGGGACAACTGCCCGCTGATTCCTGCTTTATTCCAGCGGGCATCTCTTTATTTTAGTGGTTTGGCGGTGCATCCTGGCGGAGCGTTTGGCGAGGAAAGGCTGATGGCTTAGTTACTCAACAGCCCGCTCCGTGGCACCGGGGCTGTTGGACAGGGACGGCCAGGGTTTAAAGAAAGAAAAGCTAAGATCTGTCAGGAATGCTGGAAACAGAAGATTCCTTGGTGTGCTTTGGAGGTGGGTTCGAATCCTGGCCATCTTCCCTTCAGGGCAGACCCGGGAAGGAGCTTTGAGGACTGCCCAGTGGAGGGAGGAAGAGCTAACATCTCCCTCGGCTGGACGTGGTTTGCGTTTGCCTTCATCCAAGACATTTCTTGACTTCCCACTCTACAGATTTCCTGCTGGCCTCCCATCCAAGTCCCCAGCAGGCCCAGCCCTGCTTCGCTTTTCAAGGTTGGCTAGGTGGAGCCTCGGCGTGCGACGTGGGCGGACAGGGTGTGCAGGTCAGCCGTCCTCAAGGTCCGGTGCGTGCAGGGAACAGCACATGCACCTCTGCCTGGAGACTCCCTTGGGCTGCTCCGGCACGCACACCCGCGGCCTTGCCAGCTCCGGCCCGATTGCCAAAGGGTGGAGGGTGGCATCAATCCAGACGGGGTGGCTTGGCTCCTCGCTCGGCTGGAGAGGGACTTGCGCGAGTGCTCAGCCTGGCTTTTTGAGCTTCCTTTGGTCTCCCGGTCGGTTTCCCAGGGAATGCGTCCTTTTCTTCTTTACTTTCCAAAGAGCCGGCCAAGAGAGGGAGGCTAAATCATTTTTATCATCTTCCCCGCCTCTCGTTCTGGCTAAGAATGAAGTAAGAAGAGGGGAATGTTACTGTAAGTAGCCGAGCCAAGCCGGGAGGGAGGGATCGTGCTCCATCCTGCAAAACTGCAGGGCGGGCGTTGGGTTTGCGACCCGCCGTTTGTTTATGTTGACTTTGAGCAGCAAGGGAGCCCCGGCGCCCCTGCCCAGGCTTCAGCTGGGGCCGCCCGGAAGAGGCGCGGGCACTCTGCGTGTTCTCAGAAGCTCCCCTCTTTTCTGCGGTTGCTACTGCTTCTCAAGGAATTCCAACCGCAGCAGAGTCAGTATCAGAGTCTTGTTCTAGCTTTGCATCCTTCTCCTAACAGGAACCACATGTTGGAGCAAAAACTCTCTCTTGAGTGGTCAAACCGCTGGCAAACGGGTCCCAAGGTGGGGAGGGAGAGCGAGCCAAGGCCTCCTCTCTCAGCTTCCCACTTTGGTGCAGGCGTCAGCCGGCCACTCTCTGGCCTGAATCGTCCGTCCTGCAAGTCCGGGCTGACTATCTCCGGGAGGGCGAAGATGCTCCCGCAGCCCTTTGTCCATTCTCCGGTCCCTGCCCTTAGACCCCTGGCACCCGAGGGGGCGTGTTACCCCCCAGTTTTTGGGGAAAAGCCACAGGAAAGAGTGTGACATCTGTTTGTTCATTAATGTTTATCGCTCTGCACGTGTGTGTCTAGAACGCAGGAAAGCATTGTTTGACCAAATTTAGCTGCAGACTTTCTCCAGAGCCAGACCTAAATCTGGCCGTCCTTTTTAAACAATCGCTTCGCAGTGATTTCATCTTCGGACACCACTCTCTTTTCCCGTCCATTCCTTAATCGCTTTGCCAGTATCAGCTACCTTGGCAGCTTCACCCTGCTCTCGTCACAGTCCTTCTCAAAAACGGCCTCTGGGATGCTCACCCGGGTCCAGTCTGATCTGCAGCGTGTTTCTGGACCGCGATGTGGAAATATTGGCCTCGCTGGATGGCTATTCCTGGAATGGGCTGCAGAGACCAATAACATGGAAGTTTCCCCCCGTCCGCCAGTCCCCCCCCAATTCTCTTACAGTAAACTCTGAATGCTGGGAAAAAACGTCCCCATGGACTGCATCCCTGAGCCAGGATCCGGGCATGCCTGGCCACGATGCTGACGGTCTTCGATGGGCTCCTGCGTGGGGTGAGCAGTGGAGCACCAGGAAGATGGCAGAAAATGGATTGGGGCTGAGGGTCAGCTAGGGACCCTGACAGCGACCTTTCCCACCCCCCAAGCAAGGGTGCTCTTTCTAAAACCACCCCCCACCCAGCCCCGACTGATTTGGAAAGATAAACGTGGAATGTGGCGGGTATATTTGGAGTGGACATCCGATCCTGGGCGACGTAGCAAAACTCTGCACGGTTCCCAGCGGGATAAAAATACCGCAGGACAGATTAGAAGGCGGGCTGGACAAACAAAAGACTGGGAGACCGAACCTTGCAGTTAGGTGACCATAGCAACCCTGGCCAGGTCTCTGGACCTCTCCCCTCGGCTTCTGGCCTTGCAGCCCTCCCGGTTGCGGTGCCGGATTTATTTATGCGTTTCGGCTCCGATGGGAAACTGAAGGACGATGGCGAGGAATTGACACCGGAGCCAGAAAGGTGTCGGGGCGGTGCTGGTGCCTGTGTGGAAGGGCATGGGTTTTTAAAAAAATGGACGGAAATCGCTGAGCTCCGCCGTCCTGCATTTGAAGTATTGCTCTGAGTCCGTTTATATAAGGCCATCCATGAATCTGGGTTGTGCAAACAAAGGATGGCAGGTTTAATTCCCCAGCCCCAGGGGTTTGCGGTCCAGAATTTAGCACAAAGGGGAGCCGGGTGGGAACCGGGGAAAGGATGGCGGTGGGATGGGCCAGAGGGTTACGGCTGGATTTCAAAGATGCGTTTCCAGAGAGCTGGAGAGGACCAGAGACTTTCTGCAGGAGAACCTCCCGTACGAAGGAGGAGGGGCCCAAGCGACACGGTGGGGGTCCCGGGTTTGTCGTGCGGAGCTGAGCCCCGAGGAGGCGGCTCTCCGTGTCTTTTAGAAGCTCCTTTCTTAATTTCCTCTTTCGGCTTCATCCCATCTCCGGCCTTGGGTGAGTCACCCAAGGAAGTTCAGATCATCATCGCAGTGCTGACTTCTCCATTCGGAAGGTCAGCGGGAGGTTGAAAGTTGAGAAAAAGTTCAAAACGTTAAGAGAAAGACCCCCCTCCATCTGCCCGATTACTCCCCCCGCCATTCCCTTTTGCAGAATTCCTCTGTAAGTAAGTCAACATTTAAAAGGATCTGGAAAAAGCGCATTTTACAGGTTCTGGTTATGGGCTTCGCCCGTGCTGACTCTTTTTCCTTGTTCAACTTTTTTGCCCTTTTAGGGGATTGAAGCATTCCTGAGAGGGGATCCCCCCAGCCCCTAAAAGAGATGGGCGGGCAGAACAAACCCTGAAGCGTCAAGGAAGCCTCTCTCTTTCCAAGCAAAGACACATCTTGACAGGCGATGGGAGCAGCGAGTCAAGGCCAGATTGGGAGGTAAGGTGGGGGGGGCTCATTTGGGGGTGCAGCAGGGGGGCTTGGGGGAGTCTGCGTGGCTTTCGAAACTTTTGAACCTCCTCTTCTGCACCTTTAAACTGTTGACCCCCATGAGGACTGGAAGCCTGCTTTGCGTTCCCTCATTTTCCCTGGTTGACAGATTCTGCGTTTGTACCAGGGGAGATCAAGGGATTAAAACAAATAAAAAATCGGATTTGACAGATGCCCTAAAACGTGGTGGCGATTTGTCAGGGTCGTCACGCAACTTCTCCATCACCAAAAACGGAGACCCGGATTGGGTTTTCTGCATTTCCCGTCTCTGGAAAGTTCAGGTGGCCGTCTCCCCACAAAAATGTTCTTTTCTGCTCCCAGTTTAATTCTGACGGGGAGGTCTCGGGGTGGCAAGTGTCTGCAATGTTTGGTGGTGGTTTTGACACTCCAGCTGCAAATTCTGCTGCAGACCCTGCTGGCTTTGATATCCACCTCCCAGGCCGATGCTGGTTAAATGGTGTGTGTGTGTGTCAATGTCTGTGCAATTGTTGCAGGCAAGATGAACTGAAACGCAGAGAGATGCCACGGGGTTGGGGTTAGGGTTAGGGCGCAGCTCTGCTGGCTGTGCTGTTAAAAGGCCGGCCTCTGATTCCCGCCTGTCACCAGGGGCTGCTCTTTAAGGATAAACGCTGGGTTTCCTGTCCTTTCTTCTCTTCCCGTGTAAACTAGGACTTCTTAAACTTAACGTCCAAGCAGCGCCTTTCCTGGTAGCCGCGAGTTCCACAAGCTCGGCTGCCGTAGGAGGGAATTTCTCTCCACCTGCCTTCGATGAGATGATTTTGGAGCGTGGATAAAATTAACCCCCTCCCAAGCCCTTTAGGCAAGGAATTGCCTGGATCCTCAGGAACCGATTCGACCTCGTTATAACGCTTCTTTTTAAAACCGTGATGAACGACTCTGGGGCACCTCGTGAGATGGAGGCAGAGATTTTCCCATCGTGCTTTGCTCCTGGAGCATCCCACGGGCCAAGGAGCGCAGCCGTGTTGGATGGTCCCGCACGGTTTCGCCAGGGGGTTCTCAGCCTGGAGGAAGTGGGACGGCCCGCCGCGGCTTCCCTTTTTTCAACCCTCTGTCCCTGCCGGCAGAGCAGCGGCGGGCTTGATGGATGGAATCTCTGCCTGCTTTTCTTTCTAGGTTTTGCTTGGCCGGCTTCTCCCTGACTTTCTCCCTGATGGCGCTGAGCCTCAGCTCCGAGAAGGTGAGTCATGGTCCGTCCAGAGGCTTACTCATGAGCTGGCTGGAGAAGCCAGAAGGGACCTGGGGTGGCGTGTTTTCCCCTGGAAGCAGCACCGCCTGCAGCACGCTTTCAGGGGCAGGCTGAAGGCCAGGGCCCCCTCCCCTAATTAAGGCTCCTGGGAGCTGAAGATGCCAACAAGAAGATTCCCCCGGCCTGCCTTGATCTCACGTGTCAGTCCTGAAACTCTTTTAGTCCTTGCAAGCGAGGAAATACCTTTCTATCTGGAAAGTCCTGAAGCGTCTGATCGCTGCTATCTCTAATACTCTGTGTCTGAGGACCGGAAACTTGAAGAAGCCAGTTTGCCACCCGTAACTTAAAGATCTGGCCCAGTCCACAGCGCCCTCCTCACAATCAAATGCTTGCCATTAAGAAAGTCTGGGATGATGGTGCAAAACAGGTACAGGTCATCCTCATTTAGCCACTACAACTGGGACTGGTGACTCAGTCGTTAAGCAAAGCAGTCACTAAGTGAAACCACGACTGTGCATATGATCTTCCTTCACCTTTCCTTTGATTTACAGACCTGCGAAGGTCGTAAATGCGAGGATCGGTCGCAAAGTTACTTTTTCAGCACCGTCGTAACAGCAAACGGTCGCGAAATGAGGCAGTTGCTAAACAAGGGCTCCATAATATATTTGGTGAAAGTAAATATTGGAATTTTGACTGGTGATGGTTTAGGAAATAAAAGGGGGGGGCAGAGTATTGAAAGGGTCTTCAGCTTTATTTAAAAGTTTTCCCCCTTCAGTTCTGCCTTTATGCCTACCTTTTTATGGCTCATATTTTCTTTGCGTCAGAAGATGATACGTTTTGGCAGCACCCAGTGAATTTGCAATTTGGGCTTTATCCCGTGGATTAACTGTGTCTTTAAAAAGGCCAAGGAATATTCTTTCTTTTCCTGGAGCACAGGATATTCTGAATATCCTATAATTCTGACTCTCAAACCCACCCCCTCCTTTCTTTCTTTTTTTCCTCTAGAGGCTTTTCTTTAAACAAAAAAACCCCCCAGTCATATCTTGCAACTAAACTGTTGCCCTCCCTTGTGCATATACAAGCAAGGCTGATCCTACCCAGTTATGTGATTAAACCCAACTTCAAGCTGGTTGAAATGAGGAGGGGATGGAACTCCCTGCATTGGTGGCAAGAGGAAGGAAAAGGTTTAGGGCCTTTTTACAGGTAGCAGCACCCTTAAAATCTTAGCCAGGAGAATTTGGCTTCTCTAGAAGGGGGCCATGTCGGCAAAGAAAAGATCCTATTTAAAGAAAAGATCCTCCTCGCTTCCTCCCGGCCCCCGGTGGCGCAAGAGGCGTCAGAGTCAAGTGCTCCTGGGGTCAAACCCATTTGCAAGCTCAGAATTGGCTCACCCCCAGCCCGGTTTTGACACGGCGGCCCCAACCCGCAGGGCTCCGTGTTCGAGGCACGACTTTTGTAATCTGAGCCGGGGAGCCTGCGAAGCCGAAAGCTGGCAGTTGCATCACGGTTCAAAAACTGTCACTAAGCAGGCCGGTCTGGGGACAATTATCTGTGGGATTACGCTGCTGCGACTCGGAGCTCTTCCACGTTGTAAGGGAACCTTGCCAGATCAAAATTCCCTTCGCAAATTCATTTTTCTAGCTGATCTGTTTTTTCCCTGATGGAGAGCAGAGGCCTGTTTCCAGGGCGGGGGAGAGAGGATGGAATCCACCCCCCCATTTTATTTTTTGGGGGGAATCTGGAGAGCTTGTATGGACTTACAGGCACCACGAAGCTTGCTGGGCTAAGTCTGAAACAGAGGAGCTCCAACGCACGGCGTTTTTTCCCTGCTGGTTTCTCAGTGGCCGAGGATGGCTTCTGCAGGAAACACGGAGGCCGGGGCTTGTGCACAAGCGCCCTTGGTCGAGGAGTGTGCCCGCGTGTCCCTGTATGTCTGCCGAGGGCAGAGAGGTGCAAAGGGGACTTCTCACGGGGTGGCATTGGTCCCCTTCTGATCATCGACTCAAAGAAGGGTTCTCTGCACCCCGTTTCGGCCTAATGGGTGGCCCCTTCCCGGTCACCTCCTTCGCCCCTTTCTCCCCACAGCCCTTTTAGCTCCCTTAGAGCAGAGGAAAACGGGGTCAGGCTCTGCAACGGGCTGGAACACAAACCCCCCATTGCATCATGGACGGATGGGATTGCCAGGCAAGTGTGGTGCGGGCAAGCAAGGAAGTGAAATGGGGGAAGAGGAGGAGGAGGAGGAGGAGGATTATTCCCGGCCACCTGTGAACCAGTGGCACCTTATTTACTCTCCATCCATCCAAAAACCTCCCTGACTGGGCCACTTAGCAAAATCATCTTCATTTTATTAATTGTTTCCTTTTATGGCTGAAAAATGTGCCCTTTTTGGTTCCTCCCCTCCTCGGTGCCCCTCTGACATCACCAGCCCTCAAGGAGGAAACCAGCTGCTGATCCAAACACCACCAGCTGGGAAGCCTCCGGGACACCTCGGAGGGGAG